TTCACTGCCTTGTTTTACTTCTGGTCTGATCTCCGCTGATATCTGTCATTGCTAGTTTGGACTCCAATATCCTCGGTTCACTTTCAAGCTCTTCATTCTTCACAGCTTCACCTAAACATAGCTCTGTGAGCTTCTGACACCTTACTGCCCTACCTACTCCCGCCACTCAGCAAACACCAGCCTGTTTCATGTCCCCTATACAATCTGCCCCTTCCCTTAAGCCCATCCCATCCCCTCAGGTTCGTTAGCCGTGTGAGGCGCTTTGAGACTTTCAACCATGTGAAAGATGCTATGTAAACGTAAATTGTTTTTGCTATTGTCGTGTCACAGAAAGCAAATAAGCATTACAGTGACAACCAAGGTAAATTGATCAGCAACCACTGGACTATAAGATGTGTTTAACCACAGAGGTTGATGAATTTACTGGCCCTGAACAATCCCCTCAAGTATCTGCTTGAATATCATGTTGAAGTTCACTTTACAGTGTTTACAAGCAGTGTTTACAAACCAGATTCCATGCACTAATTGTAATGTGAATATCAAACACCATCCAGTTTCTAAAATCCGGTCTAGGAAAAGGCTAGAGAACAAAATGCTACATCCCACACTTTTCTGTTTTGCTCTTGGGCTCTTCATCATACTTTTCTGGCTTTCAGAAATATCAATTCATCATTATATGAGCATCGCAGATCAACGGTTCTTGATATTGGCAGAGGGAAGTCTCAATTAGCTCATCAAATTAGAGCAAGATTAAGCTATATGTCAGAGCTGTTTTATTTTTAATAATGTATTTGAAACAATTTAGCACACAAGGTGCCACCTGTGCTTGTCTTATCTTGGTCTCCTTTGCATGATATTTATTCTACTAATTACAGTTGGTGCACAAGGGTTGCTAATTAATAAGCACAGGGAAAGAAAATTAAAATTCAGAGTTCATGAAGTTAAGGAGCTTTCTTTGAATCAAATTCAGTGTTGTGAATGTGACAGAAATTGTATGCTGCAACTTTCCGACAGACTGTTCGAGTCTTAAATAAATAAACCAGGCTTAAATGGTTGTCCAAGGCACTGGACAGATTGGTAGACCTGTCTGATGGTTAAGAATTGCTGTGTTCAATCCTTGGGAGCTGTCAGATGAAAATGATCATCTCCATTCCTAAGTGTAGAAAATGGATGTGTGTTTTCTCTTTGGCTGAATTGCTTTTTCTGCTTGGACTGACTAAGATTTTTTGTACTCCAAACTTTATTCCGCGTGAAGGGTGCTATATGAATACAAGTTGTTGCTGTTGTGGAAATACGTTAATACGTTAACTCTGGTGATAGATAAAACTAACATTGGTAATAAGTTTATCCTGGCGTTAGTCAAAATTAACAATGGTTAACTCTGTTCTTATTCAAAACTAACACTGGTAATAAGTCAACACCAGTGATAGTCAAACCTAACATTGGTAATATGTTAACCCCATTGACAGACAAAACTAATACTGGTAATAAGTTACCCTTTGAAAGAGCAATCTATCCAATCCTTTACCCCATGCTTTATGTATTTTTTGTAATAACATTTAACAACAGAGAATAATATCACATGTTTTCATTAGGATAGTACCCCTTAGTACCCCGTTGGCTTCTAAAAAATATAAAAGTTCATAGTCTTTTTCCTCATTTCTCCTGTCCAAGAAACTTGACCTGCTAACAGATATCACTCAGGGTAAAAACTGTGAAAGGATCCAATTACAGTTCTAATTCACTACTACATAAATCCCTTATTTCACACACCCATGCAACAACAAAATGACATCTATATAGCGTCTTTCACGTTGGGAGGATGTCACAGGGCACTGGACGTCAAACGCCAAAGTACATTTTTCAGCCTAAGAGCCATATAGGGGTCCTAATTACAGTAGAAAAAGTCTGAGAAGCTCCTTTCAAACAAGTCAGGGATTGTTGAGAGGAGACAATTTTTAAAAAAAAGGTTTGGACAAAATGCCAGCCAATACTACTATCAAATTGTGATCATAGCCATTTCGATGCTTTCAGTCTGTTCATGAGCTGTGAAAGGCTGAAACTTCTGGCTAAAGATTACAAAGCAAAACATGTTCACAAAATGGTCCTTTGCTAGCCTTGACGACAGAATTTGAGGAAGAGTCATTCAAACCAGAAATAATAACCAAAATAATGAAGCGAGAGGTTTGGAGAGGTTTGCTTTGTGTACAGAAGGTTGTTATCATGTGGATTCATATATCCAGAAATTTGATAAAGGCAGAATCCATATTAACTTTTAAAATGGATAAATATCTGACTGGAAAAAATATAAAGGGGTATTGGAAAAATATAAGAGAATGGGTCTAAACAGATAGCTCTTTCAGACAAATAGCAAAGGCACAATGAGCTGAATGGCCTCCCGTACTCTAAATTGCTGTAGTTCTAATTCGCAATTGATGGAGCAACATCTGTTTTGTGAATGCTTAATTTTCAACCTCATTACTTACTTTAACCATCGGCCCCTTGAGAACTACAGTGCATTGTATAGAATATATATTTTTGGCCTGCATGTGCACTGGAAAATCTGGTTCAATGAAAAGCATTAGTTTGCATTCTGAACTATAATCTGTCTCAAAGCCTTGACTGCCACCTGTCTGGAACACATGGTATACTAGTTAAAAAAAATCTTCATTGTTTTCTCCATGTTTATACTGTGGCTTTCCAAAGAGCCTAAATCTCAGTGGTACAGGTATACCTTTCATTATTATGTAGCTTCATACTTTCTCCTATATAATGCCTCAATTGGACCTAAAGTAATGCTAAGGATGCCAGGACTCAAAATGTTATCTGACACTGTAATGTATTGCTGGAGGTGCCATCTTCAGATCAAACTTAAAATCAAGATCCTAATGCAGTTTCGGTTCAACGACCCTTCAGGTCCACGACCTGTTCTGCTAGGTGAACGGGAGTGGGAGTAAGGAAACCTACGCAATGTTTTTCCCTGCCAAGAATCAAACCCATATCACTGCTGTTTGTGTGGTTATTGTTGGCACAGATTAATTGCTGGGTTTGACATAACAATTATTAAGACCATAAGACCATAAGACATAGGAGCCATTTGGCCTCTCGAGCCTGCCCCGCCATCTAATAAGATTATGGCTGATCTTCTAACCTAATTCCATTTACCTGCCCTATCCCAATATCCCTTAATCCCTCTATCCTTTGGAAATCTATCAATATGTTCAAGGACTGAGCATCTACAGCCTTCTGGGGTAGAGAATTCCACAAATTCACTACCCTCTGAGTGAAGAAATGTTTCCTCAACTCAGTTCCTTAATCATGAGACTGTGACCCCTAGTTTTAGATTCTTCAACCAGGGGAAACAGTCTTCCGGCATCTATACCCTGTCAGGACCTTTAAAAATCTTATAGGTTTCTATATCATCACCTCTAATTCTTCTATATTCTAGAGAATATAGGCCTAGTTTACTCAACCTCTCCTCATAGGCCAACCCCCTCTTCCCAGAAGCCAACCTAGTGAATCTACGCTGCACCCCCTCTAAGGCGAGTATGTCCTTTCTTAAATAAGGAGACCAAAACTGCACACAATATTCTTGGTACGGTCTCACACAACCGCAGCAAGACTTCCCTGTTTTGAACAGTCACTTCAAAACAATTAATTATGACGCACTACAAGACGTTTTGATGTAATAAAATAATAAAGCTACGGGTTTTATTCTTGGCAGGGCAAAACGTTGCGTAGGTTTCCTTACTCCACACTCCCCTGTTCACCCAGCAGAACAGGTCATGGACCCAAAGGGTCATTGAACCGAAACGTTGACTCACTTTCCTTTCTCCATAGATGCTGCCTGACCTGTTGAGTGTTCCCAGCAGCTTCTGTTTTTCTTCAAGATTATTGCTCTCATCTTTAATTCCCTCCACGGCCTCACCCCATGCTGCTTCTATGATCTCCTACAACCTGATCGCCCCTGCTGCTCCCTTCACTCAGTAAACACCAGCCATGAAACATGTCTTCTGGTCTATGCTTTATATCTACATATATATTTATATGGTCTATGGTTTATGCTTGGCTTTCAGCCAATCTGCACTGCTCTCTGGAATTCCATCCCTGAGTCACTCCAACTTGTTCCCTCCTCCCCATGTTCAAAGCCTGTCTCAAGACTTACCTCCTTGACTGAGCTTTTGGTCATCTTTTCCTTCTCTATCCTGTTCAGTTCCCACCCCCAGCTCGGTTACCCAGCGTGAAGGACTTTGAGACGCCGTCCTGATGTGAAAGGAGGTATATAAATGCAAAATGTATTGTAAATCAGGGAGGAACAGAATATTCAGACAAAAAAGAGTTTTATTTAAAAGCTCATATATATTCAATGAGCAATACCTTATTTTGTTGCCACGATACAGCACTACTGTTTAAGAACAAGTTAATACAACTATTCAAGTAATCAACAAAATCCAAGGGCAGGCAAGTAACATTTTTGACTGAACTTTCTGGTTCACGCTGGTTTCCAGCTATTGTCCTGAGACTTGTGCTCCTTGTTAAAGTTGGGCCCAACGGAGAAATCAACCTTATGAGTTAGTGCAATTTGTTCAGTTAGTTTAGACAGGAATACTTTCAGGTTTAATCAGTCATGCGTTAATAGCATTCCAGTAAATACTGCACCAATTTGCTTTGTTAAAAGTAATCTGAAATACTGGACCCTTCTTGGAAGCTGCAAAATTTCTTGCTTATTCTGCTCCCAGGAGTGCAATGGTAAGTGTCTCAAGACAGTTTTCTCTCTATTGCACAAACTACGGTTGCCCTGATATAGTAACCATAGTAAACGTTGTGCTGATTGCAACGTTTAGTCCCTGGCCTGGCCTGGCTTGCAGCTCTAACAGATTTTCTCCACCGTGGGGCGCTGTTGAGTAGCAACGATTACTAGAAAATATCAATAAGTACCATTGTTTTTAACCGTATATAAGCAGTTCAGGAACGGACCAGACAAACAGGTTGGGGGGGGGGGGGTAGAGGGTTCCTATACATTTTATGTTTTACAATATAATGGATAAAACACTGAAACCTGCACATACATTTGTCAACCTTTTCTCTAAGGACTGTTAGCAGTCTCACCAGTCCAGTTGTTGATTACTATGAATGATTAACATGGAAGGATCATATTGAGCCTTGCCGTACAGTTTGTGTTGGTCCCTGAATGCTGTAAGTGCTGCTGTAATGCATAATAAATGTCATGAAGTCAGTCGGGATCACTCCATTAAAGGGCTGAGCCGGTGGTGATCGGGGAATGTCATGCTCAGTCAATGGCCAGCACCAATCCCAAATGTTGGTATTCTCCGAGTACAGTGGGTTACAGTTTAGTCACACGTTTAATCCATGGTACAAAGGCAGAGACTCTGGTGTAGACACCCGGAGTGTCCTTCACCCCACACCCATGCCCCCAGGAGGTCACGCCAAACACGACCCAGTGTCCTCCCGGCCTCTCGCACATCAGCGGCCCACCACTGTCACCTTGGCAACTGTCTACTCGCTTGTGATCCAGCAGATTTCCCGCACAGAGCATCCTCCCTGTGAATCTATTCTTGTAGCGGTCCTCACACAGCCGTTTGGGTAGCAGGGGGATGGCTGCTTGCTGCAGGGTCTTTGAATAAGCTCTTCCTGCAGCACAAGAGAATAAACACAGCCATTAGCAAAGAATATAATAAGGCACTCCCCCGGCCAGTTTACATTTAACATGATAATAGAACACTCTGCACAAGGCTTTATGTATACTGGCTTTGTCCTCAAATATTCATTCAAGTTAACTCTTACACTGCCTGCAAGTCTGGAGGAATAACTAAATCTAACTTACAATTTAGGTGTTTTATTTATTTATTTTGGCCAAACCAGAGGTCAGCTTGGATCAGTTGGTTTCATCCTTGCCTCTGAGTCAGAACGGTGTTGGTTCAAGCTTCATATTAGAACTTTGAACTCCTGCAGCCTAGGCCAATATAGGCTGACTCTCACATGCAGTCATGGGGTGCACTGCAATGTTGAAGGTGCTATCCTTTAGATGAGACTTTAACCTGAAGTCCTGTCAACCTGTTCAGGTGGATGTTAAAGATTCCATGGTATTACTTGAAAAGAGAAGAGCGTTTCTCCTAGTGTTGTAGCCCACAAACGACCAGATAAAATTGATCATTCACTTCATGACTGTTTGTGTGACATTGACTGTCACGTTCATCTACAAAGCACACAGGCACAGCACTTTACAGAATTCCTATGAAGTACTTTGAGATACCTTCCTGATGTGAAATGAGTTACATAAAATGCAAGGATTATTATTTTTATGCAGTACGTAAGCCTGAGTCAATTCAAATAATTTTAAGTTTAAGACAACAACTTGCATTTATATAGCGCCTTTCAGAGCTCTTGAGAGCAAAAACTAATTTGTCTGTCTGTATTTTGTCCATTTGGGTCAATTTATTGTAGATAAAAAGAATCTGGAATGTCCTGTTGTATCTGGCCTGAAATGATTACCAGCTTACATGGAGATACATGTTAGATTTGCTGTTTCCTGAACCTAAACCCCTTACTGCTAGAAGCAATTTCAAATTGTTATCTGCAATATAAACTGTGTCTTGTGTTCAGATGTAGAAATGTCCATCTGGGGTCTTGTGTCCCACCTGATGTTCGTGAAACGTCATTTTTATCTGTGTTCATGACATGCAAAGACATTTGTGGACATTGGGTGTTTTTACAACAGTTCTGGTTCAAGACACTAGCTCTCCATCACTGTTCTGAGCTGCAGTGCTGCTCTTTAATTTTTCTTTGTGGTGCTTTGTCAGACTTCTGGAATGTTTGTTTAGCTCTTTCCTTAACCAGATGCTGCCCATGGGAAAATCTGCTGATTTCAGCTCTGTGCTCCGGCAACTCAGATTCCAATGAACTTTAAAGTAATAGTTCAGGCAGGAGCTATTTAGTGAACACAACAATTACAGCCCTAGGAACTGCAGCTAGCAATCAGAAGCAGTACCTCTGCAGGATAAGATAGGACTGGGATTTAAAGGGAAATGCCACTAGACCGGGAGTTTATCCCCGTGTATGGACCAACAATCCCCCAAATAAAATTGATCACTCATTCCATGGCTATTTGTGGGATATTGCTGTGTGCAAATTGACTGCTGTGTTCACCCATAAAATACACAGTCACATCACTTTACAGTATATCCTGTGAAGTGCTTTGAGACGTCTCAACAATGTGATAAGGCGCTATATCAAATATAAGGATTAGTTTATTATTATTATTATCATCTCAGTCGTCATAGAATATCATACCACTCATTAAAGTGCTCCTGATGTTCCAAACCTGGGATAAAAAGTCTGGGATTAATGAGTGCTATTTCTTAATGAGATTTCTTCATAATAAATCTGAATCATTCGAAAGGTGTTTCTTTCCGGTAATCTGAAGTATGTCACAGTCATCACCGAGAATGCTCCAACAGAATTTACTTCCCGGGCAAAGTTCTTGCGGGTTGACAGGAAACATGGGAATCTCGTTAAGAAATCCTGTAAATTAGATCTGAATTGGATTTGTTTCATTTAATTAAATAAAGCACAACTTTAACAATGCAATAAACGGTACAAAAAGGTGTGTGGTGCACGCGCGTATGTGGAGGGTGTGATGGTCACCCAGGTGTCTGAGACTGGTGGAACCCTTCATTATGCTTAAGATGTATTCAGACCGATAGACTTCCACATATGTACACAGCTTAATACATGGAAATGTCCCTGTGTCAGGAACAAAATGTGCATTCTAATCTGGAGGGACACACCTACTTACTCAATTCAAGCGAGTATTAGCCATATATTGGGGGTTAGCCAAGGCTTGGGGGCCCCCGGAGAGTGTGTTTGGGTACGGTAGGTGTTGACCAGCTAAATCTACATAGATTGCTGAAAAACCTGTGGGTCGCAGTAGAAGCCAAGAATGAATAGGGAAAACTATCCCCAAATTGCCATCTGGGAGCAACCTGATTCTTGCTCTACTGGGTGGGCCTCTTCTGGTTGCTTTGCTCCACACATCATAATACCAATGAATTGAGCGTGGCAGTTTCTCTTAGAAAAACAGAAGTTGTGTTGCTCCAATATGGAAAACCTGGTATTTTACGTTTGGATGTGGCTGGGGAAGGGGAAGGAAAATGATAAAAAGATTTTTTTGTTAAAAAGCAGAATACTGTAGATGAGGTCATAGAGTTTGTCCTAGGTCAGTTATACAGGCATGTTATGGGTCCATAAAATTAGACGCCTCATTATAACCTGTCTCATTCGATAAGATTTTTGCTTCTGAGTCAGAAAGTTGTGGGTTTAAGCCCCACGGTAGGACTCTGCACTCCTCTAAACTAGGCTGACATTCCAATACAGTGCTGGGGGTGCTCTGCATTGTTGGAGGTGTCATCCTTCAGATGACACATTATAAAACTAACTGTCTGTTCAGTTGGACATTAAAGATCCCATTGCAATATTTGAAATGAGAAGGTTGTTTCTTCTGGTGCCATGGCCAATAATCCCCCAAATAAAATTGGTCATTCGCTTAAATCAGCTGTCACATTCGCCTGCGCCTGCAAACACAGTCACTACACTTTGCCAATGTGAAGGGCGCTGGTAATTGGCACCCGCATTATAAGCAAACTTACACTTTAGCAAGGTGATTTATGAAAGGGGTCACCCAGAAGTGCCATTAGTGTCATTAGTGATGCACTAGATAATCACTCACCACTTCCAAAATTGCCTCTTCCAGCATGAAATAAGGCAGTGCTCGAGAATAGGGGAAGAGAAATTTATTTATTTTTAAATTTGGCAGTCACAATGGTAGAGGATTACAGGCAACCTTTGTTTCTATTTCTCTGAGATTTTCAGTTAAATGGCTGGTCTTTCAACCCTGGAAACTGTTGTATGGCTAAACCATGGTATGTGTTTGTTGTCAATGAAAACATGTGGGTAGAAGAGTGATTATACACTCTGAAATGCTAAATGGTATAGTGCCAGAACAATATTGTTAGATAATACACTAAAACAGCAGGACAAGAGAGCACAAGTTCGGGGTTGTGAAGGGCAAGGAAAATACTAGGAAGTATTTATTTACACGGAGGATTATCAACATCTGAAATGGGTTACCAGAAAGGGGGGTATAAGCCAAGTTGGTGACTTGGAATGGGAAAAAAAGGAGGATGGGTTTTCTGGAATGATGGGATCACAGGAGATGAATGACTAATTTAACTGGAGGACTGTTGGCTAGGAAACCAGGGTAAGAAACTCCCTTCTCTTTTCAAACAGTGCAAAGATTTCTTTAATGTCTGTCTTGCTGAACAGGTAGATCGGGCCTCGAAGGACAGCACCTCGAACAATGAAAAGATCCCCAACACTGTATTGACCTGCCTAAACTAGGAGCTCAAAGTCTCGACTCTGGACTTGAACTTACCACCATCTGACTCACAGGCAACTGACACATAAATACCTGGGGCCACGCTGATATACACACATATATATATGCAAGGCGAGGAGATCTGTTACCTGTGTCACCCCATCCTGTGATGTAGCAGTTTGAAGCTACTTTTTTGGCCCGCTCTCTCCTGTGTGGTAGACATGCTGGCAGGACATGGGCATTGAATTTGGCGCAGCGGTTCAGCTGTCCCTCTAGCTTTACTAGTGCAATATCATAGTCATTGGCATCAGGCTTATAGTCCTTGTGAATAATAATACTCTTGACCTCGACGTCTTCCTCATACTCCTCAGGCACCAACGTGTGGTAATCACCTAATCGCACCACGTAATTCTTAGTGTTGTTACCGTACCTATCAAAGGCAAAACACAAGTTTCAACAGGAATGCCAGGTAAACCTCATCAAGAATGTCATCTTGGCGATGCTCCATTCCTAATTAATCATAAAGGTCATAAAACATACAAGGTGAAAATAATATGAATTCATGTGTACCAGGTCACGGTGATAAGGTAACCACTGTAGTGGAAAAATAGGTAGGTACATTTACAATCGTCAGATGAAGTCATCACATTCGATCAACTATGCAAAGGAGGCATTTCAGTCAATAATTATTGACTTGTTTCATCTGTAAGCACCCTCACAGCTATCAGATAATGATTTGCCATCATCTTACTTTTTCACAAGATCACCAGAGAGGTTTGGATGAAGAAGGCTCTTCAGCCCTTTTGATCAAATTCTTCCAGGATACCCAGCCTACCAGCCTCTCATCACAGCATCAAATTGTTTGTTGAAAGATTCCGATGTCCTGGCCTCAAATATCCTTCCTGGTAACCCATCCTAACATTAATTACCCTTTGTGTAAAGAAATACTTCCTGGTGTCTGTCCTAAAATTGCTCTATGACCCTGTGCCCCTGTTGTTTTGCTACCTTCGCGTTATATGAAAGTTTTGAAGTAATGGCAAAAATATGCAGATCTGTCAACTTAGAGGTTGCATATGAAGTTATTTGAGAGGATGCCAGCTGTGTCCAATCCTCTCACACTCAGTTAACAAGCCGAATGCTGCTGGTACTCTGCTCTTATTAAGACACAATTTAAATATACCTGTCTTGTCCTGAAGCACTCACTGGTAAAACCCATTTGCCACATGGATTTGGGTTAAGCAGGAATGTTACACCACAACCTATCATCAAGTTATGAATCAAGAGTTTCCTTAACCCTTAGAATACTGACAAATCCAGCAAAATAACCATCTTCCTGGACTGCATAGTTTTGCCAGATTGCATGATGCAACAATACAAAGGAACTGGCTGAAAATTGCGTTATGTCTAAACTATTCCATTCCACATTTAAGGAATGAGGTAGAAATGTGCCCTATACTTTTTAAGGAACATGTATAAAGATGGTGCTCTCTGCAGGGAACTGTTTATCTCCACTCATGGTTCAGACTCTGCCAATTCTTTGTCTTTACTTTGCCTGAAGTCTTTGCCCATCTCATCAGTAAAAGTTAATTTTTCAGCCTATGAGAGTGGAGATTTGGACCCTTCCAGGCAAATAAACCTTACAAAATTAATATTAAACCAAAACAAACCTTATAGCCCAAAGTAGGTGCAAATTTACAAAATAAAATAGCTTGTCTCGGAGTAAAAACAAAGTGGCAGCCCTCAAACCCTGGGGTGAAGCAAAATGTTTCCCTGTAGAGGGGTGCTAAATACTGGGATTCAGCAGAAAATTTTATCTTCAATCTTAAGTTTCATTGAAGCATCAGCAAACTCCTGAAAGCACAGGCTTGTCTTGTGATCCTACAAAGATTTGTGGAAACGCTAAAACTGATCTAAACACAGCGAGATGAAGGAACATAGCTTTCTTTGGGGGTTGGGGAAAGCAGCCTTTCTGCAATACTTCGAGCTCCACACGAGAATGAATGCCTTTATTTGACATTCTCAACAGTTTCTGAACAGTTAGGGATTATTTCCTGCTGCAGTCTGATCTGGGATCGTGTGGACAAGTGCGAGCCTTGGGATCTTCCAAGACCATAAACACAAGAGGTGCCTGTGGAGCACAGTCCCTGCTGTAAACGTACATTTAGTTCGACTGTGACCTTTACTGCTGACTGGTACAAATTGTGCTTTGTTTACAGCAGTGAGAACCTGGTGCTGTGCACGTTGTGACATGTCCTTTATCATGATCTTCAGCCTTGCGATGCCAGGGAAATGGTTTCATCCCATTCTATTACAAAACAGATACTTGGGGGAGGAACAGGAAAAAAAAAACTACGCAAAACTGCTGCCAAACTGAATTAAGCATTTTTCCACATTTCTTTGCAATTTTAAAATTTTAAGATAAAACAGTCTAATATTTTAAATCTAGATGGAAGAGAGGCTTCAGGAGATTTGCCACTGAGTGGGTACTACAGACCAAGGATCATTTCCATTCATGAAAGAAGTGCAAGACCTCACTGTTAATAGAGAGAAATTCTTGTAAATTTCTAACTAGAATGCTTAAAGGTGACCAGGCTTTCCTGGATCGCTGAGGGAAACATCTGCTTTAGAGACAACTTGGTTTACATGATAGCACTTTTGCCTTTGGGTCAGACAGTTGGTGGGTCCAAGCCCCACATTGGGCTGTGAGCTCAGAGACCAGCATGACATTCCAGTGCAGTATTAGAAAAGCTCTCCACTGAAGGAATGTTCTCTTTCTAATTAGAACATTAAATCAAGGTCCCCTTCTGTTTGTTCTTCAGGTGTACATTAACATGATACTGATGGATAAAAGGAGCCAGTTTCTTCCCAAACCTGTGGGATCTTTACACCTGTACAGGACTGGGACCAAAGTCCTCGGAGGGAGGATAACTAGTGCTGTAGGGAAGGGTTTAAACTAATTTTGATGGGGGAAAGGAATCAGGATGTAGCATTAGAGAAAACAAACAAGTTACAAAGAGGGGTTAGGAGAGACGAATAGCAATGTAATAATAATAAATCCTTGCATTTGATATAGCGCTTTTCACGTCGGGAGGACGTCCCAAAGCGCTTCACAGAATATACTGTAAAGTGAATTGACTGTATATTTGTGGAATCCATGACAAACCGTCATGGATTGAAAATGAACAATTTATTATTGTTTTTGGTTTTGGAGGGATTATTATTAGGCTCTGTGTGGAGTAAGGAAACTTGCCCAAGGTTTCGCCCTCTGCCTGGAATTGAACTCAGGTCTCTCGCTTGCAAAGCGAGTGCTCTAACCACTGAGCTACAGGACTCCACATCAGGAGTAATCCAGAAAAAGGAGGGATTAGAAGAGGGAGAAATGCAGAATAGACTAAATCAGTCTTGGAGTGCATGTTCGTAAATGCACGGAGTTTGACAAAAAAGATTGATGGGCTGCAGGCTCAAGTTGCCACATGGGGTTATGATCTAGTGGCAATAACAGAGACCTGGCTCAAACAAGGGTAGAAATGGGAGCTGAATATTACTGGCTACAATGTATTCAGGAGGGATAGAGAAGGTAAAACAGGAGGGGGTTGTGGCAATATTAATTAAAGATACAGTTACGGCCCTAGAAAGGGACAATGTGCTAAAGGGTCCAAAAAAAGAATCTATTGGTTAGAGTTAAGGAGCAGAAAAGGAGCTGTTATTCTGTTAGGTGTTTACTATAGGCCACCAAATAGTGGGAAGGAAATAGATGAGCAAATCTGCAAATAGAAGCCCACGGCATTAAAGGGACAGTGGCAGCATGGATACAGAACTGGCTGGGAGACAGAAAGCAGAGAGTTGTGGTGAACGGTTGTTTTTTCTGGAAGTGTGCAGTGGTGTCCCCCAGCGGTCAGCATTGGGACCACTGCTGTTTTTGATCTATATAAAGACCTGGACTTGGGTACAGAGAGTACAATTTCTAAGTTTGCAGGTGATACTAAGCAGGTAAACTGTGAGGAGGATAGTAGCAAACTGCAAATGGACATAGACAGACTGGTGAAATGCGCGGCAGATGAAGTTTAATGTGGAGAAATGCAAAGTGATGCATTTTTGGAGGAAGAATGAGGAGAGGCAATATAAACTGATGGTACAATCTTAAAGGGGGTGAAGGAACAGAGAGATCTGGGGGTTCATATAAGTAAATCTTTGAAGATGGCAGGACAGGTAGATAAAGCTGTTTAAAAAAAAGCATACAGGATACTAGGCTTTATAAATAGGGGAATAGAATACAAAAGTCAGGAAGTTATGTTGAACCTTTGTAACACACTGGTTAGGCCTCAGCTAGAGACTGTGTTCAGTTCTGGGCATCACACGTTAGGAAGGATGTCAAGGCATGAGAGAGGATGCAAAGGAGATTTACCAAGATGGTACCAGGAATGAGGGATTTCAATTATCAGGAGAGGCTAGAGAAGTTAGGATTATCCTCCTTGGAGCAGAGAAGGTTAAGAGGAGACTTAATAGAAGTTTTCAAAATTATGAGGGAATTCGATAGGGTGAACAAGGGGAAACTATTTCCACTGGCGGGTGGGTCGGTAACCCGAGAACACCGATTTCAAATAGCTGTTAAAAGAAACAGCGGGGAGGTGAGGAGAAATTTTTTCACACAGCAAATTGTTCAGATCTGGAATACATTGCCTGAAAGGGTGGTGGAAGCCGATTCAATAACAACTTTTAAGAGAGAAGTAGATAATTATTTGGGAGGACAAGTTTGCAGGGCTATGGGGAGAGCGCGGGCAGTGGGATTGAATTGGATAGCTCTTTTCAAAGAGCCGTCACAGACACGACGGGCCGAATGGCTCCTTCTGTGCTGTATACTTCTATGATTCTATGAATTGGGTCCGAGACACAAATTTTGTCTCTCTGGGCTACCTGTTTGTTGCAATTCACCCCTTTGCTTTGCATTATTAACACCTCTTTTTCCCTGTTTTGTTGCACTTCCATCCCCTCACCCCATGTTTTGCATTATTAACAGCTCTTTTTCCCTGTTTTGTTCCAATCCCCCCTCTATTTTGCATCATTAACACCTCTTTAACCCATTATCCCCTGTTCTCTACCCCATTTTCTCTTTTGCCTTCCTTGCTCTGACTCCACCCTCTCTGTTAGTCCTTAAAAGTCTTTCTCTCCAAGCATGCCCCAATCCTGACGAAGTGTCGTGGATCCGAAACGTTGACTCACTTTGCTTTCTCCATAGATGCTGCCTGACCTGCTGAGTGTTCCCAGCAACTTCTGTTTATTTTTCACTTTACAGTATATTCTGTAGTCAACTATACTTGGCATTATACCTGTAAAGCATTTTGAGATGTTTAAAAGCATTAAGGCATCATAAAAATGCAAGTTCTTTCTCTTTTCTATTACTTAAATGCAATCTCAAGACTTCCTCGTTTACAATGAAATTGCCAAGCACGAGTCAAGCTGATCTTTTGTTCTTGCAAGAGCGGAGTAATAGCTCTCACAAGAAGCAGGGTTTCTTCAATATTTATAAATCACAATTTCATGTTTATATATTCATGTTTATAAACTGAAGTCGGCTTCCTCGAAACTCAGCAATTAATACAAAAGGTTGTGAAAGCTTATCGAATGCGGGCAGCTTGGTGGCCCAGCATGAGAGTGCATTAACACAGCAGGTCATGGAGTAGTTGGCACAGCATCTCCTCATTCAATTCACCACACAAGTCCCTCATCTCAGTCGGCTGTTGGGGGCAGTGCCAAGTGGAAGAAGGCCTTGTTCCTGAAGAAAAGAGGTTTCCCAGCAGAAAGAGACGGACAATGTTCATAGAGCAGGTCAATCCAGAAAACGTTCTTTGAGGTCAAAGGGAATAGGTCCAGACTGAGGTGAACAAATACTCCTCATGTCCCAATGGGTTTGATCAGAATGGGGGAAGGTGGGGAGGTTAGATGTGGTAATTATCACGTGCATATAAAATATGCTTAAAACACATTTAGAAAAATTGCCCTTAATGACAGTTTGGGAATGAACAGAATGAACAACCCTTTGCCCCCACCCTCTCACTTTGGAGGCCTGCAGCATATTGGTTAGAGTACTCTTCTCACAAACAAGAGGACCTCAGTTTGATTCCCAGGCAGGGTGAAAACTTAGGCAAGTTTCCTTACTCTACATGCCTCTGTTTACTTAGTAGTGAGTAGGAACCAGGTTGTTAGTCAATTAGTGGATGACCTTCCAGCAATAATAATCTCTTCAAATAAATTAATTAAATCAAATAATAATAATTTGGTCACTCAATCCTCAACCATTTGTGGGACACTGCTGTGCACAATTGGCCACCGTGTTTCGCCCACAAAGTATGCAGTCATTTCACTTGACTTTATAATTCGCTTTGAAATGTTTCAACAATGTGATAATGCGCTATATCAAATGCAAGGATTATTATTATTTGGTAGAACAGCTTTGCCCACAGACTATGAAGATTCAACATCGGCGCCACAATGATTTCCAACCTCAAGAACGGAATTTGAACAATGCTTCACCAGATAATTCCAGGCAGGGAGAAACCTTGGGCAAGTTTCCTTACTCCACATGCCTAATAATAATAATAATAATAGTAATCTTTGCATTTGATATAGCGCTTTTCACGTCGGGAGACGTCCCACAGCGCTTCACAGAACACACTGTAAAGTGAATTGACTGTATATTTGTGGACGAACGCGGCAGCCAATTGTGCACAGCAATGTCCCACAAACAGTCGTAGATTGAAAATTATCAATTTATTATTGTTTTTGGATTTGGAGGGATTATTATTAGGCTCTGTGTGGAGTAAGGAAACTTGCCCAAGGTTTCGCCCTCTGCCTGGAATTGAACTCAGGTCTCTCACTTGCAAAGCGAGTGCTCTAACCACTGAGCTACAGGACTCCTCAAATATTTTTTGTTTTGGACGAATAATAATAACCCCTCTAAAACAAAAACTGGTCATTTTCAATCCACGACTGTTTGTGGGGCACTGCTGTGCGCAATTAGCTGCCGCGTTTCGCCCACAAATATACAGTCAATTCACTTTACAGTATATTCTGTGAAACTCTTTGAGATGTTTAGAAGACGTGAAAAGCTCTGTATCAAATGCAAGGATTATTATTATTATAATGGTGTAAAACAAAGCAGGTACTTGGTGAAGCAGTGGGGGAATACTAGGAACCATTCCCTCACTAAAGGATACATGGCACTAAGTTTGATTCTCATAAAGTCAAGAAGACCGGGGGGAATTGCAGTTTTCTCCCAGGGCCAGGTTAAATTGTGGGATGAATCTTTTGATTAGCTTTGGAATTTGCATTGGCCTACAAAATACACAGTTACTATACTTTACAGTATAGTGTGAAGCTCTTTGGGACGTCCTCCTCGTGTGTAAGGTGTTACATTAAATACTAGGATTATTATTATTATTATACCTACACAGACATTTCCCTGAAGAGAAAGAATGGGCAGGGTAACATTTAGACAGGTAATGGTTTTGTTTTGTGTGATCTGCTGAGGGAATGGATCAAATGGTCTTTTCTATTCTTTCACGTTCTCCTAAAGCATCGACTTAACCAAGGCTGGGAGTACCAGAGAACTGGAGATGAAATACGATAAGCAAAAATAGCAAATAAACAGAGAAGGATTGATTTAAATTAAGCGTAAGGTGACGAAAAGCTTAACAAAGGACATTGTAGCTTCATATTCCTTTGATCTTAAAGTTGAGCTTGCAATTCGATTTATAGATCATGTTTCAAAATGTCGTACTAGAATGATTCCCTTCTCCCCACCCTAGCTCCCCCATTGTTCCACCATATGTGCCCCATGTGCAGTAATGATTGCTTTACATCACAGTCTATCAAACATAACCTGATCCCACATCTTTATTCTAATCTCCATGATCAATTAAATGAAAGCATGTGGTGCCTGCCCATTATTTTCACAACATTTCTCTTTCATCGTCTGCATTGCAGATAACAGTACTGCACACTTCAATATAGCGGCTGAGGTAAACTTACTTAAAAACTTACCAGCTATGAAGAATTAGAAATAAGAGTGCACTAAAGTGATGAAGTTATGTTATATGAGACTGAACTAATGTGGAACTGGAAAGTATTATTGGGAAGAAATTCCACCTGGATCTAGATTTGTTCTATTAATATAGCATCCAGAATTTGGCAACTTCTTGAATGCAGACTTACCTTTGATGACGGTGTTCTGCAGTTTTTAAACAAACTCACAGAAACCTTCTTCAATCTTAAGTCTGTGTTTAAGAGTTTGCTGAATTCCAGATGCTCTAAAAATGCTACATAAATAGAGTCAATCTGGACCAGGTGGAATTTCTAACCCTATATTTTGGAAAATATTTGACTTTTAAATGGCATAATTTATCCTGTGTTTTATTGTTTTTCCTGTGTTTTTTTTGGTTAATTCTACGTTATCAGGAAAAATATGGAAACAATCAAATTGTTACACTCCGTTAAATATTGAAAGTTATACTCATTTCAGACTGCCTCATTAACCCATATGTGCAACCTCAATGCCTTACAAATGGATTGTGTTGGGCAGTATTCCCAAGAGAATGCACACATTCTGCCAATTCTACTTTCTGTCTCGGGTCTAAAATCAACACAATATATTCATGCTCAAGAATGCAATCTGTCGACTGTGTACGTTTTCAGCTTTCCTTATACTTTTACATTAATCTTTCATTCTATTTTAGCAACCTTGTAGTAAAGCTGTACTCTGCAGCTAAAGCACCTCTTGCTATTAATTCTTGTCGTCTGTGTGCTTACAGACGACAATAGGTCACTTTCTGAAAGTAATGAAAATAAAAATACCCTTTACGGGTTACCAAATAGCAACACAATGCATATGGGAATAGAGGGATATAGAGGAGGGGGATAGGAGGGGTGAGGTTGTGTGGAATCTAAACACCAACATAGATAAATCATGCTGAACGACCTGTTTCTGTGCAGTATCACTTTATAAAACTTACTAATTAGCAGTTCATTTTCAACCCCTGGCATTCAAGCCACAGCTTAGTTTTGTATAAAAGACTTGTGCCCATTATTTTGTTTCACCTGAACATGCTCCAAACTAAAATTCCTGAATAGATTAGATAGAAAGAAAATAAATCTATTCGAGTCCCTTAATGTGAGTTCTGCAAAGGTTTTCCAACACATTTGTACATTAACACCCGTGACAAATTCCCTGCATAAATCTGACACATTGGGCAGTGTCGTAAAGCTGTTAGAAATCAATTGCAACTTGTTTGTTGAATCTGCAATATTCTAAAGTGGGATTCGATGAGTTCATTTCAATTCCATTCATAAATATCGAAAGTTGAATAATTCACAATATTCACAAGACAACTAATCTGAACAAAAGACATTTGAGAGACAAAAAGGAGTAGTTAGAAGGATTTTTTTTTACACAGAGGGCTTTTAGGAATGTGGAATACCCTACCTGGAAACATGGTAGAACAGAATCTAAGTTGGCTTTTAAAATGGAATCAGTTGGCAGGTCTCTTGCATCTGAGTCAAAAGGTTTGGGTTCAAACCCTACATCAGGTCTTTGAGCTAACAGTCTAGGCTGACAATCTAATGCAGTGATTTATTTTCTTTCTATCTAATCTATTCAGAAATGGGTAATGATGCATTGTTGGAAATAATCTCCTTCGATGAGATGTTAAGCCAAGATCCCATCTGCCTGTTCAGGTGGATGATAAAGATCCCATGGCAGTATTCAAAAAGGGAGGATCTCCCATATCCTGGTCAACAATCTTCCAAATAAAATTGGTTACTCATTTCATGGCTATTTGTGGGACATTGCTGTATGTAAATTGGCTGCCAAGATCACCCACATATACACAGTCACCGCACAAGTAAAATCCAAGGATTATTATTATTATAAAAAGGTCTGGGTAAAAGGCAGGAAAATTAAACTAAGTGAAAATCTATTTCAGACAGACAGCATAGGCACAATGGGTTTAATGGCATCCTGTGTTGTAAATTTCTATAGTTCTATGGAAAATAGATCAATAGAATTTTGATCTCCAGCCATTTATTTTTCAACACCAGAAATGAGGCAACTTTCCTTATTTACAAATGGAACAAATCAAATCCCACTTGCGATAATCCCAAATTAGACCCTATTAAGTTTTCAAATTGGTTCATGAAATATTTTAATACATTGTAAAATAACAAAACTGACCTTTTAAAGCAGTGAGCTGCCGTGAGGACCCAACAGCTGCTAATGAGAGTTGCACCGCACAGTAGTCTCCCATCTCTGTGGGATGCTCTCAGTCGAATGGCTGCCTGCCAAGGCCACCCCCCCCTGTGTAAGGCAGGAAGCCAAACATTGGAAAAAAGCATATTTCAGTACATAGCAGAGCCATAGCAAATACAATTAAAACCCTCACAAATGCATCTAAACACACATTGGCATTGGGCAGTGAACTGTTGGTTTGGTGACTTGTGCACATTTTCCTTAACGACTTGGCTGTTGTATTTTGGTCAGGCATGAAAGAAATCTGGCTCTGTTTCAAGTGACTGTTTCAATATCTAACAAGCTGATAAACTGGAAACAAACACCCTTGTTCAGCTTAACTTTTACTATGACACCATAGAATCTACTGCTCTGACCAAGGGTTGGCTGCTTATTTAGCAGAAAGCTTTAAGGTTGGGGTTTAACTCATTACGTGTGTGCAATATTAATAACCGTTTAATGGGAATCCAATATGCAGTCAAATTTCACCAACAAATGTAACATTTTTACATTATGTATTTACTACCTTAAGTATTGCAACATACCTGCTTTTGTGGAGCTAAATATTCCACACAAGCAGCTCTATTGCAATATTTGTGGTAGTATATACGAATTTACCATTGACTGAGACAACAATGCGTTAGACACCCTGAGCTAATAAGTTCTGACATCAGTGTTATTTTATGTTAAGTAAAGTGTAAGTTACCAAGGTCATGGATTCATGTGAAAACAGACAGTTTTGCAGAAACACACTTACCTCAAGGAATTTTTCCCACCAATGATTCGTTTTTGCCTTTGGTTCAGTAAACGCAAGCCACAGAGAGAGGGCACAGACTCTAAAAAATAGTTAAAAGTAATGGCGCCTGAAATTATAACTATTTTCCACACCCGTTCTCCAAAGTACTGGGGGATGATTATGCTTTGTTCATTCTACAATATAGAAATTTAATTTATCATACAATGACCAGAGAATTGTTCAAGGATTTCTATCCCTGAAATCAGCCCGCCTATTCCAGATACCAGCATTAACTACCCAATGCTTCAATGTTATGATGACTTTGCTCAGTCTGAAAGATTGGCGTAAAAATGAGGTGCATCCTGGAATATTCAGCATATGTGATAATTATTATTTTGTGGGACATTCTGTTCCTGGCAAGGTCCCAGATGAACACCAATTGAATAGTCACTTAGCATTTGAAGTTGACTTAAACCAGCACTGAAATCTGGGATCTGTATGGTGCCAAGAGCAAAGCAGTGCCACTGCCAGCCGGCCGCATAGCCACCGCAAATACCCATACAATCATTTGATTGAAGTTGGGGAGATAGGAGGGGTTGTTGTTCACACGTTATCCACTGGGACATCCTCAGGAAGGAGTGCAATGTTCCCCAATGTGAAGATTATCACCAGCGTTATTTATCACGTCACAAAATGTACCACATTTTTGAACCAATTTACCACTAGACTAACCAAGGTTCAATTCCCTGGACAGTGCTCAGTTGGATAATCTTGACCAGGGCAACAATTGGGGCACTTGTTACATATAAAATGGTCCATTCCCAGCACTCAACAGATGTGGCTCAGAAAACCCTACCAACGTCTCCAGCTATCTGAACATTACAGACAAGATCTACAGCTCAGCAGAGATATTATCATTGCACCATATGCTGGGTGCTACTCATAAGTTTCTCTGTCCCATTTTGCTCAATGGACTTTCCTATATTACACTGCTGTAAATTAGCAGTATTTTAACTGGGTTTTACTGCAGTCAATTTCTGGAGTCCAAACAGCTGAGCCTGAGGTTTTATGTGGCCTGAAATAGCTTTTTTTATACAATTCTCTCCCCTTCCAAACTGTACTTTTTTTCCCAAGGCTCCTGCACACTCCTTTGGCTCTGCAGGTGGAGTGCGGGTGCACTTGGTAAAGGTTTCTTCACAGTATCAATACTGCTCCTGTTTAGCATGCTTCAGCAGGTCAGGACTGGCCCTAACAGTTTCCTCTCAGTCCCAAGAAGGAACACTCTGTTATTGTGCAGTATCATCACAAAGCAGCTTGGTGAACAGCTGAATTTGAACTGGTCTTCAGGAAATGAAATACAGTATATATCTGCTGCTGGAAAGAACTCACCACATGCCAGTGTGGTTTTAAGGAGTTACAAGACTATTGGAATGAAGATGTGGTGCCTTATCACTTTCAGTATGCTGCTGATATAATTGATCATGTGTACAGCAGATATGTGAAGTGAAAGCAGTCTGACTTAGAAACATACAGTCATAGAAATTTACAGCAAAGAAGGAGGTCATTTGGTCCATTATACCTGTACTGGCTTTTTTAAAGAGCTAAGGGCAACAAATTTTGTTTGTATAGTGCCTTTCACATCCCAAGGTGCTGGATAATCCGTAATTTTGACCTGAGCAGGGTGTTGCGATCAGGAGGGTTGTAGGGCAGGAGGGTGGCTGAAGGCGCGCTCGAAGAGGAGGGTCTTGAGACGTGCCTTGAAAGAGGCAAGGGAGGGAGCAAGGTGAAGGGACTGTGGGATGGAGTTCCAACAGGTGGGGCAGGCCTGGCAGGGGACATGGAGTAGACCAGAGCCTGCTGAGCAGAGGGAGCAGACAGGTTGATATGGGGTTTGCACGTCACAGAGATAGGAAAAAGCCAGGGAAGTGCTTTGAAGGCAAGGATGTGGATTTTGAACTTTATCCTCTGGGGGTTGGGGAGCCAGGCGAGGGTGGGGATGATAGGGTCATGAATAAATCCCATTCCCCTACCTTTTTCTCTATACTCTTTCATATTTTCCATTTTCAAATACTCGTCTAATTCCCTTTTAAAAAGCTTTTATTTGGTTCAACCACAGCCATTCCATATAACAATAACCCTCTGTATGTAAAACAATCCCCTTTGTTTTATTGTCATTAATGATTTTAAACCTCTGCCTCACTTGTAACCCCTTAAAAATAAATAATTTGGTTTATGGGACACTGCTGGGCACAATTGGCTGCCACATTTCGCCCCCCAAATATAGTCACTTTACACTATACTCTGTGAAACACTTTGAGATGTCTCAATGGCATGATAAGGCACTATAACAAATGCAAGGATTATTATTATTATTATCCACTCACATTCAGTGTTATACTCCATTGACGGCAACAGTATTTTAATGGCTGGTTCAGTTAACAGAAAACAAAGACACTTCACCTGTGTTGCCCAGGAGAACTCTTTTCTTGGCACTGTAGTCACAGATCACTCCAGCGTCCTCACTGTGTCGGCAGTTGTGTGTGCCAATGTCTTGCTTGATGCAGTCTGCTAGCATCAGTTCAGTTCCAGTGCATTTCACGTTGTCCATGTGTATTGGCCCCACACCATCTCCAAAATACGCCAGTGACCTTGCCTTCGCTGAACCCCTTGAAGCAAAACACATCTACTGCTCAGAAACCATCAGATTTCTTACTGACTTATTTAACTTTTTCTACAAATACAAAGGCACTACACTTTATAGCAATTACCTGTGAAGTGTTACCAGACATTTCAATGTGACGAGGTATTAAATATTAAATGTAAGGAGGATTATTATTAATTGAGCAGTTTTCGGAGGAAATAGATATTAATATTCCCTACATCTGACATAGTACCTTATCATGTCTTCGAAATGTCTCAAAGCACTTCACAGGATTTAGTGATAGTAATTTAGTGACCAAGTGACAGCTCTGGCAGGGGAATAGGCATTTGTTTTTATTTCCTGTCTCCTAGTCTCGTCATTGAACCTGTCCAGCTATAAAAATATATGAATTTCTGATCAGATTGTACCCCTAATCAGCTGTGCAAAGCTCTGCGATCTCCTAATGTGAAAGGTGTTATATAAATGTATAATTACGGTTGTTATTCTTGATCCAGTTCTGAATGTGGATCACAGGTCAGTCTAAACATGGTATCGGTGTGATTCTGCAAGAATTCATCTGCAGAATTCATTTAACAACAGCTCTGGTGCAACCTTAAATATTATAATACAGGGCTCAGTCGAGAGCTGGAAGTACAAATTTAGGTACAATATATAATGTTTCCTGAAGCTTTGAGGATGTACAATGTAAGCAGAAAACAAGGGAAAATATTGTCAATACAATCACTGTCAGCCTGGCACTCTCACCTCTGAGTGAAAAGGTTGTGGGTTCAAGCCACATGTCAGGATTTTGTACACACATATTCCAACTTGACTCTCCAATGCAGTGCTGCATTGTTAGAGGTGAAAAATGGCAGATGAACATTAACATATGCCTGTTTAGGTGGGTACTATTTGGAAAGAGATGGGAGTTTCTCCTGGTGTCCCAGCCAACCGTCATACAATGAATAGCTGTTTGTGGAACATTGCTTGTGAACATTGTTTGTCTCATTGGTCTACAAAATACTTAACAGTAAACTTGTGAAACACTTGGGACATCCTACCAACAAGAAAGTTGTTATATTGAAATCATGGTTTTATTTTTTAATTAATCAGACCCAGTAAAGGTGTAAGTAAAAGTGCTGATCAGAAGAATCCTTATATTTGATATATCAGGTAATATTGTGCACAGAGATATCCTACAAACAGACATGAAGTGAATTGACCAAGTTTATTTGGGGGATTGTTGCCCAGGTCACTGGAAGAAACTTCCTTTTTGATAGGGCCGTCCTGCATCTATTGCGGTTCTGGTTGCTTAAACATATCGGGGTATTCGACATGGCAGCAGATTGTGACTCCAACAACATTGGAGAAGATGCACAGAACCATTGTTCTATTTGAAGCGTTCAAAAACAACATGATAGAAAAGATTGTGGTAAACTCACTCTGATACTATCTTGGATTCCATTGTGTTGATCAGGCCATTTGTTTATTATAAGGAATTTCTGGTTTTAAAGCCACCAGTTCTTGATAGAGATTCCTACTATAAAATGATTTGGATTTCAAGGTCAAAGTTTGCATTCTTTAACTCATTAATTTTTTGACCACACTTTCTGCTCCCACCCCAGCTTCGGTTCCCAGACAGCATTATAAAGCACTTTGAGTTATCCTCCTGATGTGAAAGATGATATATGAATTGCATTGTATATTGCTGTCATAAGTTTACTAATTGGCTTTTACTCATGTGGTCACTTTGGCAGGAATGCAACTAACCATTTCTGACAGGCAATCAGAGAGTCAAGACAAACCTGTCCACGATATTCACTGGGAACACTCAGTAGGTCAGGCAGTATCTATGGAGAAAGGAAAGTGAGTTAACATTTTGGGTCCACAACCCTTCGTCAGAACACTTCTGACAAAGGGTCGTGTACCCGAAATGTTGACTCACTTTCTTTTTTCCATAGATGCTACCTGACCTGCTGAGTGTTCCCAGCGACTTCTGTTTTAGTTTCAGATTTCTAGCATCCGCAGTACTTTGTGTTTTGTCCACAATATTGTTCAATGAAAGGTTTGGTCATAAAAATTGCAGCAAGGAAGAAATTACACACTAGGCCATTCAAGGCAAAGGCCATATTGAGCCTATGAGTTGATGTTACTCTAATTCCAATTCCCTGTTATTTCCCTGTACCCTTGTAATATTTTTCCTCTTCAAGGCTGTGCAGTGGTAGCACTCTTGCCTCAGAGTCAGAAGGTTGTGGGTTCAAGACTTGGAATCATATAGTCTAAGCTAACGCTCCAATGTAATGCTGGGTATGTGATGCATTGTCAGAGGTTCTGTCCTTGGGATGAGATGTTAAGCAGAGGTTCTGTCTGCCTGTTCGGGTGGACATTTTTTGGCACTATTCAAAAAACAGAAAGGAGTTTCTCCCAGGGTCCCGATCAACAATTCATCCATGTCTATTTGTGGGACACTGCCATACACTGGCTGCTGCATTTCATCCAAAAAATATACAGTCAATCCATTTTACAGTATATCATGTGACGCACTTTGAGATGTCTCTACAATGTGAGACATATATGTGAGATATATGCACAATATCAAATGTAATCCTCCTAGCTATAAACTTCATCTCCCTAGAATCATCCGTGTGAAGCTACACTGACGGTGGATTTCATTACAACACTATCTTGTGACCTGAGGTGAATCTTGGACTGATGGGATGAATGTATTTCTCTGAAGGCTAAAAGAACTCTAAATGAAATGAAATTGGACTGTCTCAGCTCAGTTCTTAGTAATGATCAGTCTACAGTGCACAATTGTCCTAAATTAGGGTCTAATTGACTTTACATTGGTAATCTCACTCATACTGCCTACAAGAATGGCAGCTCTGTAAAACACAAGTGAACATAGTGACCTAATGAGATTGATGTGGGCCAAGACTTGTTTTGGAACAGAAAAGGAGTTTTGCAAACTATTTCTCATGTTATACCTAACCTATATAACACTGAATCATCAATGCTGTATGCAAAACAAGACCCTTCAGCCCATCTCATCCTTCCAGAACATCCTTCCTATTATCGTCCCATTATACTGTCAAGCTGTTTTTTTAAATGGGTCCCATGTTAGCCTCAAGCATTCCTTTGTGGGAATCTGTTCCAGTCATTAATCACCCTCTGGATAAAGTGATGCTTCCTGGTGACTGTTCTGAAATTGCCCTTTACATTTCTAAACCTATGTCCACTGGTTTTATTATCTTAGTGCTATCTTGGGGATGGGGGTCCAGTTCCTAGTCCACTGTACTCAAGGTCACTGCTGATGACAGCCCAGCCCAGAGGCGTGTGGAGTAAGGAAACTTGCCAACCATTTTGCTCTGCCCTGGAATCGAACCCAGGTCTCTCAGTCCTGTAGCTCAGTGGTTAGAGCACTCGCTTTGCAAGTGAGAGACCCGAGTTCAATTCCAGGCAGGGCGAAACCTTGGGCAAGTTTCCTTACTCCACACGCCTAATAATAATCCCCCCAAAACAAAAAAAAAAACAATAATAAATTGGTCATTTTCAATCCATGACTGTTTGTGGGACATTGCTGTGCGCAATTGGCTGCCGCATTCGCCCACAAATATACAGTCAATTCACTTTACTGTATATTCTGTGAAGCGCTTTGGGATGTCTAGAAGACGTGAAAGGCGCTATATCAAATGCAAGGATTATTATTATTATTATTTGTGAGGCGAGCGCTCTAACCACTGAATTACACAACTTCACTTAAACTGTGTTGCAGCCAAAGAAATCTCGCAGCATTTGTCAGAAGAGCAGTGGAGAATGGAATCCAAGTATAGTTCTGATGGGTCAGTTTGAGACATATCTAGGAACCCAAAGGATTCACTATTTACAAGTTGGTCTAGCAAATTACGCCCACTGTCTATAGAATGATATACCTTTGAGATCCGAGATCACAAAAGTAATGACCACCCAGAAACAAGTACTTGTTTTAATAGTACAGTTTTTTGGAGGGATGAGGCCACCCAGAACTCAGTTGAATGGGATTGAGTAAATGTTGAAATAATCACAAATGAATTTTGGAGCAGCTGCAATTATATATCAATGGCAGTATTCTGTGCAAAGCGAATGGAATTTCCTGCCGCGTTCATCTAACAGTAGAATGTCCATAGAAGGAAAATGTTTACCCGCCTTGTTCAAACAAGAGAGTAGAACAATTTTTTTTTCTAAACTGTTATGACTGTATGCTCTAACCTTTTAGATGGTATTTGGTACCAGTGTCATCCAAGTGAAGGTAGCCACTCATGAATCGGCTAACAAGTCTTCATATTACACAGTACAAGAACAACAACAACAACAACAACAACAAGATTCCATTTATAGAGCGCCTTTCACGTCAGGAGGACGTCCCAAGGCGCTGCACAGTTGGGTCATGACCCGAGCATTGGGGGGAAATGGTCAGGGTGAGGGAGGGAAGGGAGGGAGCGAGGAGGGGGGAAATGGTCAGGGTGAGGGGAGGGAAGGGAGGGAGAGAGGAGGGGGGAAATGGTCAGGGTGAGGGGAGGGAAGGGAGGGAGCGAGGAGGAGGAAGAGAGTCGAGAGGGGAGCTGAAGGCACGGTCAAAGAGAAAGGTTTTGAGACCGGCCTTGAAGGAGGAAAGGGAGGAAGCAAGGCGAAGGCACTGGGGGATGGAGTTCCAGAGCCTCGGGGCTGAGAGGCTGAAGGCCCGACCACCGATAGTAGGGCGGTTGGGGCGGGGGACGTGGAGCAGACCGGAGCCAGAGGAACGGAGGGTACGGGCAGGTAGGTAGGGGGATAGTAGGTTGGAGAGGTAGGAGGGAGCAAGGCCGTGAATGGCCTTGTAGGTGAGGATGAGGATCTTGAAATCAATCCTCTGGGGGATGGGGAGCCAGTGGAGGCGAGCGAGGGTGGGAGTGATGTGGTCCCGAAGCCTGGTGCGGGACAGTACACGAGCTGCAGAGTTCTGAATGACCTGCAGCTTGTGGAGGGAGGTGGCGGGAAGGCCGGCGAGGAGAGAGTTCCCATAGTCCAGCCTTGAGGTGACAAAGGCGTGAACCAGGGTTTCAGCAGCGTGAGGGGTGAGGTAGTGCCGTAATCTGGCGATATTCCGGAGGTGATGGAAGGCGGTGCCAGTTGTGGTGCGGATGTGAGGGAGAAAGGACAGCTCAGGGTCGAACAAAACGCCGAGGTTCCTGACTGGCTTTGAGAGGTGGAGAGTGCAGCCTTGGATGCTGATGGTGTCAGCGCCTGAGGTGCGGAGGCGCTGACGTGAGCCAATCAGGAGGGCCTCGGTTTTTCGCACGTTGAGCTGAAGAAAGTTGTCTCTCGTCCAGGACTCGATGTCGGACAGGCAGGCTGTCAGGACATCGGTGGTCGTGGAGTTGAGAGTAGAGGAGGAAAGGTAGAGTTGGGTGTCATCCGCATACATGTGGAAGTTAACCCCATGTTTGCGGATGATGTCACCGAGGGGGAGCATATAGAGGGTGAAGAGGAGGGGACCGAGGACAGAGCCCTGAGGGACACCACATGAGACAGTACGGGGGGTGGAGGAGAAGCCATTCGTTGAGACGAAGTGAAGACGGTGGGAAAGGTAAGAGCTAAACCATTCAAGGACAGTGCCTTGAAGGTTGAGGTGGGAGGACAAGCGGTGGAGTAGGATAGCGTGGTCGACCGTATCGAATGCTGCCGATAGGTCGAGGAGGACGAGGAGACAGAGGGAGCCCTGGTCACAGATGGTCAGGATATCATTGGTGACCTTGACCAGGGCAGTTTCTGTGCTATGAGCAGCACGGAAACCTGACTGAAGGGGTTCAAAAAGAGAATGGGTGGAGAGGAAAGAGCGCAGTTGGGAGGCGACAACTCTTTCCAAGACCTTGGAGAGAAAGGGGAGGTTGGAGATGGGCCGGTAGCTTGATAGCTGCGACGCATCAAGGGAGGGTTTTTTCAGGGTGGGCGTGATGATGGCAGTTTTTAATGGAATGGGGACAGAGCCAGAGGAGAGGGACAGGTTTATGATGTCAGTGATGTGTGGGGCAAGAAAATGGAGCTGGGAGATAAGGAGTGGAGTGGGGATGGGGTCAAGGGAGCAGGTGGTTGGTTTTAGGGATAGGATGAGTTCAGTGACAGAGGGTGGGGAAACGGGTACGAAGGTGTGTAGGGGAGGATGGGTAGGAGTCGGAGTGTGGGAGGGAAGGGGTGGGTGGTGGGTGGAAGTTGGAGGGGAAGTGACCGCGGAGCGGATTCCCTTGATCTTGGATTCAAGGAAATCCAGCATCTCCTCGCAGTGAAGGTTGGAGGAGATGACCTGCGCGGGGTGGCGGGGGGGACGGAGGAGTCGGGATGTGGTGGAAAACAGTAGCCTGGGGTTGTTCTTCGCCTCCAGGATTATCCTGGAGTAGAAGGACGACTTGGCCGAGGCTAGAGTGGAGCGGTAAATTTTGAGGAGGTCCAGCCAGATTTGTCGGTGGACCGTTAAGCCGGATTTGACAAAGGTGCGCTCAGCAGCCCGCACCTGGCATTTCAGTGAGCGGAGGTGGGTGGTGTACCAGGGGGAGGAGCGGGAGTAGGAGACAGTGCGGGAAGTGATGGGGGCAAGAGTATCGAGTGTGGAGGAGAGGATATTGTGGAGGAGGGAGAGAGGAGAAGAGGGGTCGGTGAGGGTTGAAGGCCAGAGGGAGAGGAGTTCAGAGGACTCCAAGGCATCGGTTAGGGATTGTGGGGGTAACTTCTTCCAAGGGCGGTAGAAGATGGTGGTGGGTCTGGTGGAGGTGGGGAGGGGGGTGGAGGTGGTGAAGGAGATGAAGTAGTGGTCGGAGATGGCCTTGTCGGTAATAGTGACATCCGAGACACTGAGGCCCCGGGTGATCACCAAATCGAGTGGGTGGCCGTGACTGTGAGTGGGGGAGTTTATGTGTAGGGAAAGGTTGAGTGAGGAGAGCAGGGAAGAGAAGTCTGTGGAGATGGAGCAGGAGGGGGTGAAGTGTAGGTTAAAGTCGCCCAGGATGATGAGGCGATCAGAGGAGAGGCAAAGAGATGTGAGGAGTGTTGAAATGTCAGAGATGAAGGTGGGAGAGGTTTTAGGGGGCCGGTAGAGGAGGAGGATTTTAAGGGAGAGGAATGAGGGGTGGGAGAGGGTGAGGTGCTCGAAGGAGGGGAAAGAGCCAGAGGAGTAGGGGGATAGGGCAAGTGGTGTCCTTGAGATAAGGGCAACACCACCGCCACGGCGGTTGGGGCGGGGGATGTGGTGGGAGGTGTAGCCGGGTGGCGTGGCCTCCGTGAGGGGGAAGGTGTCGCCTGGGGTGAGCCACGTTTCTGTCAAGGCCATGATATCAACGTTCTCATCAAGGATGAGATCGTTGATGACCAGGGCCTTGTTGCAGAGGGAGCGGACATTTTGCAGTCCGATGTGGAGGGAGCGGTTGACAGAAGGGTGTGTGGGAGGGGAGGGGGGTCCAGGTTGTGAGGCAGGGGTGGGGGGATGGGGATGAGGGAGGAGAGGTTGACTCCCCGGGTCTGTGTCCGGGGTGGGTGGCGAGTGTGGTGGGGAATGGGGCAGTCGGTGTGGCTGCTGCTGGACAGCCAACGCCGAGTGCCACGGTGAGCCCGGCGGAGGATTCCCAGACTGGAACAGAGGGAGGTTGTGGGAGGGTCAAGTGGGGATAGAAGACGAGAGGGACGGAGAGAGAGGAGGAGAGAGCGGGAGAGATGCAGAGGGGGGAGGGTTTGGGGGAGAGAGGAGGGGGGAGGGAGGGAGGGGGTGAGGGGGCTCGGGTCAAAGCGGCAGCCATAGTGCGCACGCGGGGACCGGGAGCGAGCGGTCAGGTGGATGGCATTATCCCGCAGATTGGGGCATCGAACCCAACAGGACCATAGTGGGCTCTGATGTGAGCCCTGGGGGGGGGGGGGGGGGGAGGGTTTTTTTTTTTTTTTTTTTTTTTTTTGTGCGCGCGCACTCACCTGAAAACTAATCTATGACGTCGCAGTTCCCCCGCTCCGCCCCCACACCTCCCCCCCCCGGGGCTGCACTCGCTCCGGCGTCGAGTTTAAGTACCTGGGTCAGTAGGCCCAGGCTCCTCCCCGCGCTGTCCTGCTGCCGCTCCCCGACTGTACAAATGTACAAGATCAAAAGGAGACCAAAGTTCCATTCAACTAAGCACAGATAACTATACTGGATTATGATACTCATTGTAATACTGGGATCTAAAATGCAACGTGCATAAATCAGGAGTTTCTGTGATCATTGTGAATTCCAGTTTACAACTGAAATTGTAGGACTCGGTACAAAATTCACAAACACCAGCAAAGATTGCTGGCAATGTTTTACTTTATGTTCCTTTCTCAGATTTTTGGTCTATTTCTAGGGTGAGAAATAGCCCAAAGGAAAAAGTAGCTAAGACCACACTCGCAGACCAGATGTCACAGTAACAATCAGCGGTTTAATTCCAAGCCATTCCTCACCTGGGAAAGAGCCGAAAGGTCCAACCAAAGGTCAGAAAGCAAAACACCAGCATAAAATGGCCATAATGCAGCCTTCAGTATTGCAGCATTTTTGTTTTGCAACTGTGGGAATTCAGGAAATCCAATCACAGTCAGGATTAATTCAACCTTCAGTTTGAAAATGATGGATTTTAAAACTAAATGTAATTAATAATAATAATTAATAATAATAATAATAGTTACATTTGATATAGCGCCTTATCATATCTTTGAGATGTCTCAAAGTGCTTCACGGAATATACTGAAAAGTGAGTAGACTTTATATTATGTGGGTAAAACACGGCAGTCAATTGTGCACAGCAGTGTCCCACAAACAGTCGTGGATTGAGACAAATTTTTTTTGTGTGAAGGGATGATTATTCCTGGAAAAGTGATACGCCAATCGACTAACAACTGGGTTCCTACTTACTGCTAGGTAAACATAGGCCTGTGGAGTAAGTAAACTTGCCTAACATTTCGCCCTACCTGGGAATCAAACCCAGGTCCTCTTGCTTGCGAGCCGAGTGCTTTAACTACTGTGCTACAGAACTCTACTAACCTAGAGTTTTATGAGTTTAATTTTGCACAACCTTTATTTTAACTGATGAAGTTTGATTTGATTCAATGTTACACAGTTATCTATCCTTATTTTATTACATATAAGTAACTGATACATCACAGCATCATGTATTCCTGCTTCTCTAATTCTTTACTCTGTCGGTCACTGAAACTCTCATCTCGATCATTAACTTTAGTCGCTGAATAAAATTCTCGGCCTATTTAAACAGCTGAAAACTACGTACAAATATTTTTGCGTTGAAACAATTAGATGAAAGAAGTTTGAATTACTTTCATAAGGAAATGATCATTGGGTCCCCCAAGACACACAGCACCTGCATTTCATCTGACATTTGCTTACTTGTAGCTCAGCTGACGGCAGACCACAGTGGCATCCTTGTCAGTCCATCCATCATCACAAATGGTCCCCCACTGGCCATTGATAAATATTTCAACACGTCCTTCTTTCTTATTTTCTCCATCCATCAGTCTGATAGGAGGACCTGTCAAATGATTAAAAATTTAAGCAAAGATATTTTTAAAAATCAAACACTCTCCAGAATTCGTAATGCTGGTGGGTTTACTTCTAGTATGCCATGAATATAGAGTAAACTTATATATTTGTATCTGTTAAGTATAGCATTAAATATAGTTAAGTATAGCATTAAATAACATCACAATGACCTATGGGAACACTACTCCAAAACCAGCTTGTGTAGGAGCAGAGTTTCCATGAATTGCCATGACTTGCTTCTGGTTTCTCGAGTAAGGAATAGCATCACAAATTGTTGGATATGGGGCACCAGTCCAGGAATTTCTGGTAAAGTCTGACTGTTACATGTACAGAGGTGTTAGAGGGATCTTACTTCCAGTCCAGACTGGTTAAAACTTTAGGGTGAAAATGAGGTATCACTGGTGCTATTTATCACATTGCCTAACAATGCAATCCAATTCTGTCCTTAGTTATTGAGATTGAACTCATTCCTGATTTCAGCATAATGGATTGACCTGAAGCCACCTGAGGCCTCTAACTGCTGCTGTCAACACTGACCCCTCCCTCATTAGAGAATGTTGTACAAATATTAGTGAAACTTAACCAGAATGAGGAAGAGACTGACTTCATCCAGGCATCTCCCAGGAGTGGCACAACAGAAGTTATGTAGGCGAGAGATGGATTTAATCAATATTTCTCTAAATCACATTAACATTGGTGCTCCAGTATAATACACCATTGTAATCAGAGCCTGCTTTTCACTCTTGGCTTTTTGGGAAACCTCAACCTTTCTTCCTTTATCAGACAATCATTTCTTTATAAGATACCACTTCATACAGCGGCACATTCATATACCAAAGGCATGACAGTTGCTGAGCCCACACCAGATGTGTTTAAAATGAAGCAATAGAGTGTAACAAGCATAAGCATCAAATCAAAAATTGAAACATAGATTCACAGAAGGTATTGCTTAGAAACAGGCCATTCAGCCCACCCAGTTCAGCTGGTGTTTATACAGTGCTCCACAAAAGTGCGTGTACTAGAACAATCCCTAGTCCCATATCCTGTTTTTTATGCATGCACCACAATTATGGAACATCACTGCTGGCACTGGAAGCCAGAGCCACAGAATACAACCATCTAAGGTGTTCCATTAATACAATGTGATAGGTCAATTGTATTTTGATGTTACTAATTCGATATGAGGACCATGATTATAATGTGCAGCATTTTTGACGAATAACTACTTAGCGATGCAAGAATGACATTGATGTGGTCACACAAAATTGCAACAGGCAATTTAACAAGGTATTGTTTCCAGTGCTTCCAATGGCATTACTCCAGAAAAAGAGCACAATTTCTGGGTAATATCACCAAGTAAACAGCCCTTGAACTATTCCTAAGGTTCTGCCAAGTAATGCTCACCAAAAGGACTTCCCTGGATGTCATTTACTGCACTGTGTGTACAAACGATTGCCACATCCTCCTGGTGGCTGCAATCATGCTTCCCCCATTCACTCCTTGAACATGAAGACAGTGATAACTCCTGACCAGAACAGTTGACATCATCCAAGTGGATAGGGCCTGTGCCACGTCCAAACTGACCTTCTGGAGGCCTCTGTGCAAATCTGTGGGTAAAACCAAGATTCCATGAACAAAAGCCCACTTGGATCTCCATGGTTAGACAATGCCATTATCTCATCAAGACCGCCTTAACTATTCTCTTGATTAATCTTTAAATCGTTAATAACATTTGATGTGTAACTCTTCATTACTTCTGGTAATTAAGTTACCAGAGGTAATGAAGAGTAACACATCAAAGTTACCAGAGGTAATGAAGAGTTAAATCTGATAATGAAGCACACCCCCAACACTGCATTGAAATGTCAGACTAGACTGAATTCAAATACCCAACGTCGGGCTTGAACCCACAAACTTCTGACTCAGAGACCAGAGTGCTAATGACGTATTGTCTCCAATGTTGTAACCTCTGGAACTTTTGATTCTCCAAGGTCCAAGGTCCATCCTCCAAGGTCTTCAATCTGACAGGTGACAAGATAGCAAATAATGGGGTGTTGGGGAAGTAAGAGATGAAGACAGATATTGTTGGAAACAAATAATTCAAACTTTATTACCCAACAACTACATGAAGTACTATCACGAGCAGGAGCATGGCTTCTCTGTCAAATCCTCACCCAGTCTAGGCTTTGGCTTGTGAAAGCCATGTTATACAGACCCGTGGCTCTACCCCGGACCATCCCATACTCTTTCTCTTGGGAGGGCTGTCTGGACAAACTCATTGCAGGATGAATGATCCTCCAGTTCATAGGTGGGCCCTAAGATCAGTGGTTTTCATTGACCTCCAGTATTCCTAAAGTCTTCCCTCAGTTACAATACCCCCCTTTTGTGCGGATATTAGGTGGTGGCATTCCACCAGCCACTGCAATGCACCATTCCTCACTTCAATGCTCTGGCCTCGGGAGCACATGCCGCGTGCTCCACACAAGTGGAGCAGCCATCCGTGTCTTCGGTCAGCTTCACCCCATGAACCCACGACCCAGGCACTCCTCAATAACCTCTGTTTTGTACCTGAATCCCAGTTGCCTGCAAACAACATGAGAATTCTGCTCTGTCCAACCATCATCACAAACACTTCCCCAGTGACCACCAAAGTAGACCTCAAGTTGACCCTCATGACTGCCCTCTCCTCCAGTCAGGCGCAGCGTGCCATCTAGGGAATAAGCGCGAAGGAGATGTAAAGCACAATAAAAAAAGTAACAGCACCAAACAATTTAACAAACAATGTCAATCAAAATAACTTTCAAATGTAACTCAACATGGTGAAAGTTGTGAAACATAATACGTTAATTACTATGTCATATTTTTCACCGAAAATGTCATACAAGACAACTAGAAAAAATAGCTCTTAAAAAGAAGTTCAGCATTTGTGGCAACAAATCATGTGCATATTAAATTCTACAAATAAATTCACTCCAAAATGAAATTATAAAAATTGCAATTTTCTGTTCTGAGAAGCAGGATTTGAGTTTCACATTTCATTAACCTGATCTGAAATTCCTCCAAATGACCATTGCAACCAGATGTTGGGCATTCTGGGGAACTATCCTATATACATATTCAAGATTGTTATTACCTGATTCATGTACAATTCATGTTATCCATTCCACACTTAGGTGCATTTGATTAATACAAATTTGATCCATCTCCTGAATAGTCCAATTGCATGCATGTAATAACCTCTGTTCACCCATCCAATGAGACTGAGTTTTAAAGAATCCAACATTATTTTCTTTGGTAGACTTTTAATTGGCTGGGATTTGGGTTTTGATTCAAATTACTCTTTTGAAAAGCCTAGGGAAAAAACATCATGGGCAAAATAGCCTTCCAAAAACTTTCAATGCATTTCCCATTTCTGGACACAGTGGAGATCACATGAACACCAAAGGAGTTTTTCCCTTGCTTTCTTGCCAACTCTTTAACTCATAGAATAATACAGTCCAAAATAAATTACGGACTCTACTTTAACAATGATTTCTGGTAGAAAATTCTATATTCCAAATATTTAAAGAAATTCTCCTCTTTAATTCCTTTTATAATTTCTTTAATTTTGTGCCCTATAGTTACTGACTCACTGACAAGCGGAAATAATCTATTACTCTTCCCCCTATCATCAACCTTCATAATCTAAAGACCTATTCAGCTCTTGTGTATAAAAAAACACAAATTTCTCAAATTTCTCAAGACTTCAAATGGAGGAATGCCATTCCAAATAATCTTGCGGCAGTAAAAGTTGCTAGAATTTATTACATGTTAAATAACATTAACATTGTACCAAAAATCCATTGACTACATTAAGTTAATTATTAAGATTTACCAAATCTCTCTCTCTCGTACATTCTACAAAGAAACATTAAAGTAGCTCACATTTTACTTTGACCATTTTGGTAACTTTACCTTCATTCTTCCTCATTGAATCCTAAGATCTCCCTTTCTTAACTTTTTGCCTTCTCCAATCTACAGGTCTTACTCGAAAGAAGCAAGTGGAAATGATCTCCACAGCATCAGCATTGATGTGTTTCATGACTACACTGAGGTATTGGCTCTTGGTGTTTCACTGATTTAAGCTGAATTTCAAAATATCTGTGAGTGGAATTCTCAGATACTGTTTCACATTCTGACCATAAGTACATGCAAGCTTGTGTTTAAGAGGTTGGCTATTCTTTTTCTTTGCACTGAAATCAGCTAGACCAAAGATTATCTATACCTACCCCTAAGAGGATTGCAGGAAACACTTGCATCTTCCTTGTGCCCACAGTTATGTTCTCCCCACAGGCTCTTGGCACATTGGTCTATAGAGAGTTCATTTCCTGTGCATTGCACATCATCCAGGAATATGGGACCAGAACCTTCTCCAAAATAGGCCAGTGTCTGTGCCTTGGCTGGGCCACTATGTATTGCAAAAAGAATAAGCAAACTTGGTACATTGCATAAAACAATTATATGATGCTTTTCTTAATACATTATCCTGTGTTAGTCATCCTGAGAGACACCTCTTACCTTTCAGCTTCTGGCCAGGACATTCATACATCTGATAGTACAATGTAGATATGTTGTGGATATAGTTTGCCTACAAAGTAGTCACAACTCTGAACAGTAAGTCATATGAAGTATTTTGAGATATGCTCCCAATGTGAAAAATTTCATCATCATTGAAATGATCAGGAGAAAATAAAGGATGGAAGAATATCCAAGTTTCAGGTAAATGATCAGAGGAAATGTTTCCCACCTGACTGAGTAGATTAGGGCAGTTAAGGACTTTCTAGATAATTCAGCAACAAAAAATGTTGAATTGTTTTATTTTTTAGACTACTACTGGCTTCCGGATCGTCAGGTCACTATGGATATCAGTTCCTGTGCATACGTGGACAGGAAGGGTCACTAATGTCTCTTCCTGCATGCTGTACACGGTGGGGGGTTTGCATATAGCATGCAGGCACAGTGTGTGGCAAGCGATGTTCTTGATGACCGACGACCTGAAAGATGGCTATTTGTGTTGTAGAAAACATTGATTAATAAAAAATTTTAAATAATTGTTGATTTTATCCAACAAAAATCAGAAAATATAAAATTTAATGTTCAGCAATTCTAGTGGTAAATGTCAGTCTAATTAAAAATATTGTAGAAATCTTACCAGAGCTTATTGTCTCATGCAGATTTATAGATGCTCATATCCAAACTGTAAGCAAACCTTTTCCACTGAAGAAAGAGAAAGCATACTAATCTTTCCATTTTAGATCAACTTATTTACGAATAAGTGTGCTAGCCCTGTGCTAACTTGTGTCTCTATTCCAATATGCACAGAATTGTATTGCATTACCGTTTCACTAATTTCTGCTTAAAAATATAAATCAAATATATATCTGTTACATGTTAAAAACTATTTTGAAGTACAATTCGGATCATAAAGTCACTTAGATTTATCCTCTGGATGGATATTAAGAAATTGCCACCATTGGTGAATCAGATTTTACAGTATTTCCTAGAGCTTTCTGTTTTATCCTTAAAACACACACTTAATTGTTGAACTAAGAATTTGATAAAATGGCCTTTGGTTTTATTTATCAGCACGTCTTGTTCCTGAGATGAGGACACCACAGCTCTGAATGTAGAATCTAGATTTTATGTGCAAACAAGCTTTGTTCAATGCAATGTGTAGTTTAGCCCTGTGAGCTCAGTAGATTGAAATTAAGATACAAATACTGTAATTCATTCTGGTACTTGTTCATTAGAGAACAAGTCTGTAGACTGAGTTGCAACTAAACTGTTGCATGACTGGATATGTCAAAGTACAAAGGTCATGACATCTGATCTCTACAAGTTGAGCAACACAGGAACAAAATACAACATAAATAATTGTACAATCTGGGGGTCGTATGGTGGAAGCGAACATTGGAGATATCACTCAAATCAGTATAATTAATCAAAAACGATGCAAGATTTGTCCGTGCTGAGATAGCTGATCTCAGCCAGGGTAGCAGATGGAAGGCCAAAATTCATCTCAAAGTCATCTGGTTAGAGAGACAAAATTCAGCCAGAGTTTCTGCTTTTAATTGTTATTCAGGGAGCCCTGCTAGAAAGTGCACATGTGTGGATGTTGGTTGAGGACAGGATAAGGTACGGTTATGAGGTTGTTTGAATTGTGTGCTGAAAATCACTCAGCAGGCTCGCACATTGGAGAACTGGGTCACTGGGTTCGAAACTTTGGAAGCGACCGATGATTGGAAGATCACCACAGCAAGAGTCAGTATCTTCATAGAAGGAAGGGTAAGATTTGAAGAAGGGGAGGGAAGAGTTAATTTTCCTTTAAGAATAAAGAATTGACATTCTGAGTGTTTCTTACAGAGTTTCACATTGACTGCAACAGAGCAGCTACTGATTTCATAGTGATCTAATTTGTGTTATATAAGAGGTTATAGTGCTGTGGTATCTGCTTTATAAAAGAGACTGTGGGATTTATAGTGAGTTAGTAATACTAGCCTGCCTGCAGATGCTGAAAGCATCAAACCGCTATATTCAGAACAAGCTATGTTATTACAGCAGCACCAAAAATCTGATCAATCATCTGCCATAATATTTTTCAACCATAATATTGGGTCTTTGATACCATACTGAAATCATTTCATCAAGACATTAATCCTGACATTGAACCTTGTCAGAGACTCAACTGTGCAGTAGGTACAGACTACCTGAGGCCAAGGGTAGCCGCCCTAAACACAGAGCCCAGTGACTCACACAGGCTGGGAACACAGGCGTAAGTCACTTACGCCTGTGTTCCCAGCCTATGGCCTCTAGCCACAGTGTCAACAAGTCAACTTGCAATATCCCTTCAATAATGGTTTGGCTCAAAGGACCCTGTAGCCAGCAGGAAATAATAATATCAATCCTTACCTTTAGTATAGCTCCTTTATAATAATAATAATCCTTGCATTTGACATAGCGCTTTTCACGTCTTCCAGACGTCTCAAAGCGCTTCACAGAATATACTGTAAAGTGAATTGACTGTATATTTGTGGGCGAAAAGCGGCAAACAATTGCACACAACAGTGTCCCACAAACAGTCGTATACTGAAGTGCCCAATTTCTTTTGTGTGGAGTAAGGAAACCTACCCAAGGTTTTGCCCTGCCAGGAATCAAACGCAGGCCTCTCACTTGCGAGGCGAGTGCTCTAACCTCTGAGCCACAGAACTCCTTTCACATCAAGAGAATGTCTCAAAGTGCTTCACAGGATTTACTGTAAAGTGTAGTGACTGTGTATTTTGCAGTCACACATGGCAGTATATTTGCACGCAGCAATGTTCCATAAACAGCCATGACCAATTTTATCTGGAAGATTATTGGCAGGATACCAGGAGAAACTCCCTTCTTTTTCTGAATAGTGTCAGAGACTCTTTAACATCCACCTAATGAGGTGGGATATCCTTGGGATAATGTCTTATCCAAAGGACGGCACCTCGAACAATGCTACGCTTCCCAGCACTACATTAGAGTATCTTGTATATTTTCTTATTAACTAGTGGAGTGAATGATTAGATGACTAAGCAATACAAATCAGTGTAAATAGAATTTTTGCCTATGTCTCCGTAAGCCCCATCCCAACCCTCTTAATATGTACTGGAACTAATGAAGTGGGTGAGGTATGTCATTTCTGAAAAAAGGTAATGGAAAGCACCTAACCCTTAAAGCTGAATGCTATCTATTATTGGCAGCCTGCTGGTGCAACATGCTGCAACCCACATCAGTACAGGGAGTTGTTGATCTTGGCTAAGGCTTCAGTTGGACATGTCAAGTAGAGACAAGCCACTTGCTCACAGCTAAAGGGTGAAGCTCCCTAGGCTGCATTCACACAATTTCTTTTAGACAGAACAACACTGGCAGAAGTCAGAGAGCAAATCAGCTGCTTGCCATCTCAACCAGGAAGGAAGCTGTAAAGGAGACCAATGACTATTATATTTAAAGTAAAAGAGTGCACCATTGGACAGGGGGTTAAAAACAGCAGTGCTTCAACTGTAGCTTTCTAATCCACTTACACATAGTGTTACTGTAACCCTGCTGACGCCCAGAGGATACCATGCACTGGAAGAGGTTAATTGATATTAGGGAGAGTTCAGTTTCTCCTGTGTTTGCAACTGCCGGAGATCTTGCACTGCCTTGTTAAAACTAAACAGAGTTACACAGAAATGGAAAGAGTACTCCCTGTAGTGTTAAAGAAATTAAATCCACTTGTTTCAAATGACGGTCCACAGATACATTACTCTCTTTCTCTCTCTGTCTCCTCCACTCCTCCCATTAACACATTATCCAATTACATGGTTTGGATATAAAAAAATACCCCCCAAGCAACCTTTGAGTAATTGCTTACAGAAACCTGAGAGTTTTATTACAACTTTGCTTTTGAAGCAAATGTGAAAAATAAAACGAAAGGGCAAACTTCTTCTGGAATGTTGCATTATCCTTCGTGCTATTGTTCTCTTTAAAACAGCGATGCACCTTGTTAATTTTCAAGCAGCAAACAGATATTACAGGGAGCACCTCAGTCTCACCATTTGATATGTTAAATGGGAGATGCCTTGAACTCTAACCTGGTTTCTATTGTAACCCCTAGGTTGTGATCCAGGTGATATGGCTTTGGGTTGAGAGACAGGTGAGATATACTGGTCCACTGGGACATCGGGAAAATTCTGCTAGATTTGCTATCTGACGTAATTTTGTTTTCTTATTATGAGTTAAACAGCCCCCACTGCTGAACAATTTCTCAAGATCCAGGCAGGAATTTTACACAGAGATTAAGCAACAACCAGTATGGGTTACCAGGAAGGATAGTGGAGGCCAAGAACAGCTTTATGAGTGTAACAGAAAACCATAGGATTGTCATTCTGCAAGGATAAAATTAAATGAATCAAAGGGCCTTCTTCATCCAAACCTCTCTCGTTTTATTTTTAATTGACTCAATCCATTACTGTTTGTGGGACCCTTCGGTGCGCAATTGGCTACTGCGTTTGACCCACAAAATACACAGTCAATTCACTTTACAATATATTCTGTGAAACTCTTTTGAGATATCTTAATAATGTGATAAGGTGCTATATCACATGCAAGGATTATTATTATTAGTGTTGTGATTCAGCATTATCCCAGAATACAAGAAAAAAGCAGCATAATTACAGAACCACAAGAAGAGGTACTGGAGTTCTGAAATATCTCATGGTTTTAGCCATAAGACCATTGTCTTAAAATGTAAGATTGTGCAAAATGATGACAGTGACCAGATGAAGTTAGCTTATTTGATGGGAAGGAGTCAAATGTTGAAAAATATGAGAATCATATTCTTATGAAAAAATATCTTGGGATACAGTATATAGTTTGGGACACGACATGTCAAGTGACTGC